CCCAGTCATGGCTCATAAAATTCTACTGCCAAACTAGACACTAAGCAGGAAGATGGCGGTACCTATTAAATAAAATGTGTTTAATCCAGATTGTTTACAAAAATAACATTTAGACCCAGAAACTTTTAATTAGTATGTTTTCATTTGATAGTCTAGAAACTGAACCTCATAAAGATGTTAACTGGTCTCCAAAGCAGTGCCTCACAGTAGCCTCTAGCAATGATTTAAAAATATTGAATAAATAGCACTTTCCTAGATATTAATAAAGGGCAGTTGACAAAAGTATCCTGAAATAGAGTTATCCTTCAAGATCAATGAAAAATCTATTTCCCTAAGGTGTTTAGATACATGCAAATCTAAGTTAATTCTATATGCAATATTAAACAAATAATAATAAATAACATTAGCAGCTAAAATGAAGCATTTGTTACTTGTCAAGCTTGGTTCTAAATATTTTGTTTGTTAATTTGTTTAACCTTTATAATAACCCTGGGGATTAGGTATCATTTTCATCCCCTTTCTTACAGGTGGAATTGAGACACAGAGGTAGTAGTTTGCCCTAGGACACAGAATCAGCCAGTAAGGCAGTGTGCTGCAGTCTGCACTCTCAACTGCTAGAATATGGTGTGCATGATAACATGGATGACTTTTATTTTTTTAATTCACAAACGAAAAAAAAAAAAATCTGTCCCAAGGCTTAGACACTGCAGGATCATCACATAGTAGTAACTCTGTTAAAGATTAGAATAAATAAATCATTACTATCTGCTACAGACTGAATGCATGTGTACCCCCAAAATTCATAATGAACCCTTAATCCCACTGTGGATATTTAGAAATTGAGCTTTTGGAAGGTAATTAGGCCATAAGTTTGAAACCCTCATGATGGGAACAGTGCCCATACAGACTGAGACAGGAGACAACTGGCTTCCTCTCTCTTTCCTGTCTGCCATATAAGGATACAATGAGAAGAAAGTTGTCTGCAAACCAAAGAGTGTCCTCCCCAGCCTCTTGATCTGCTGTCACCTTGATCTGTCTTAAACTTCTCAACTACCAGAACTATGAGAAATAAATGTCTATTGCTTAAGTCATCCAATGTATGGCAATTATTTATAGCACCCCCAAAAGTAATCTAACACCAAAGATACCTGAAAGACAGTACAGTTAAGGAAACCTGGGGAAATAGCTGCAAACAAATTGCCATTGGAGAAACCACTGTGACTCTCCTCTTCAAACAAAGGTGTCAAGTGGACAGCATGACTAAGAGACAGAAAAGCAGGCACTATTATCATACTCTGCAAACAGCAGCTGTTTGTAAAAACACTGATAGTCATGCATCAATCTCTTCAGGCACATTCACACTCCTAGTCAACATGTACGTGAAGAGCAATGTGTACATGCAAGGCTGTATAGGCATATGCATGTCTCTGTGTGTTGAGGGGATTGAAGACTATCGCTGAAGATCAAGTCTGGATTAATATTTGAGACAATGCATAAGCAAGACAATTAGAATTCTATATTTATGCTTGTCATAAGAATTAAGTAAACATTATTAAAGCTAAGTATTAGGGGGGGGAGAATTCCACCAGAAAGTGAAGTTTGGTGAATATTTGAATAACCTGCCAATGCAATCAAAGAATGAGCCATTTAGCATAGTAAGTAGTTTAGGTGAAATATGTGAAATAGGTGAAATAGAGTTTAGGTGAACTAAACTCTAAGTCTTTAACTTAGTGATCTTCCTTTTCTATTTTAGATATTAGTTTATCCGTTTAGCCTGTTTCATACTAATTAGTAAAGAAAAAAGAGTCAGACACTCTTAGAGAGTGATCCAAGATTCCACAGAAAGGGTTAAGAGTCCAGCATCTGCCTTTAGGGAAGGGGGTGTATAGTAAAAGGCCTGGTATTTCTTATCCTTCAGGAAGATGAAGATATATTCCAGTAAGAACACTTACAGCATCTAAGAGAAAAAAAGGTCTGCCTCATGTAAGAAAGGGTCAGATTTCACTCCCCCCAGTTATCAAAATGATACAGGGGAATATATAGAAATTGTTTAAAATGTTTCTAGCTTGAGATTATTTCGAAACCCACTTGTCACAACATGAATGAATCCTTGCATTTAAAGAAAAGAAAATAGAAAACCAGAAGAGGGATCACCCACAAAATATCTATTCCTGTTCGTAGAGCATCAAGCAAAATAAGTCTGAGCAGACACTGATGCAGACAGCTTCTCGTTTGCACTCTGAGGCAGCTCCTCAGTCACGCCTGGGTTGCTCTTGGGAGCAAGTCTTTCCTCTCCGACCTAGCGGTGAAGAGCTCAACCAGTATGTTGCAGGGGATGCCCTAGTTGGTAAGGTTAGGTTATTCAGGATTTTTAGAAATCCTGAAAAAGATTACATTTTGTTTTTGTGCACCCAAATCTCTCCCAGCACTATGACCTTCTCCATACACAGTAAACTCCTCTTGCTTACTTGGGATAATTTCTAGATTGAACAAATGGCAGAATCTCAGAGTCTTGAGTAGATGGAGGCAGTAGTAAATCTCGGAATCGTTCTGTTAAAAGAAAAATAAATATCAACCTGTGAAAAAATAAAAGTCATAAAAATAATTTCAAAATGGAATTATTTCCTATTGTTTTCTTTTGTTCATTTTCACTGTGCATCCTTTATTAGAAATTTAACCACCATCTTATGTACTACTGAAACATGTCTATTTCTCCTTACTGGCTACATATGTCCTTACAATTAAAATATTGCAATCTCTTCACATATAGAAATAGCAGGTTTTCATTAGTAGAGACTAATAAAATCTTATAGTTGAAAGGCTAGAGAAATCATATATGAACAATACACATACTAAGAAATGCACAATCTCATTGGTAACCTGGGAAGTGCAAATAAAAACCACACACCATTAGACAGCATTCACATTACATGGCATTCAATTAGCAGAAATCAGTCTCACAAAACTAAGTGTTAGCGAGGATGCAGCTTAACATAATCTCTTATACATTGCTGGTGGGGATGCAAATTGGTAAGATCACTTTGGAAAACATTTGGCATTACTTTTTAAGTTTGATCTTTGCATACTATATGGTCCAATATTTCTCCAGATATATACGTTGAAGAAACTTTCTTAGTCAGCAAGAAAGAAGACGTTCATAGCAGCACTGTTCATAATAATATAAATGGAAACAACTCAAATGCCCATTGACATGAGAATAAACAATTTGTGCTATATTCAAACAATGGAATATTACTTGAAGTAAAACTGAATGATTTCAGTTACAAATAAAAAGTAGTGAATCATATTAATATAATATTAAGTGGAAAAAAATTCCAGTGGGTTACATACAGCAGAATATTATTTTTATTGAGTTGAAAAACAATTAAGCAATGCATTGTTTAGATATATAATGTACGAGATAAAGCCATCCAATGATAAAAGGAATGTTACACACAATTCATGATAATGGTTATCTTTTCCTAAA